GGTTGTACAGCAATTACCCCTTAGCATCTAGGAGGAAGAGGTGATGACTACCTATCACCACAAACTCTTTCCATCTGAATGCCTATTCACTGTTTAAAGTTAGGGATGTTGATCCTAGCATTGATCTTGCCAGTTGGTCAGGAGAAATTTTCCTTGCACCTCTTTAGTTGTGGAAGACTTGTTCTAGTATCTTAGCTGGTTAGTCATTGTGATGAAGGTCATGGTTGGTGTTTGCTAAGATCTATCCTAGTGTGCTGGGATGTGGTTAATTTCAGTCTTTTCCCACTTCACCTTAACTGAAAGTATGGGATTTGTTCCTAATCACTGACCCTCATGCCTTTGTGAGCACAGCAGCCCTAGACATTTCCTGTCTCCCCATTCTTCCATCTCTGTGCAGACTGTCTCCCTGGCTAAGTATCCTTATCCAGGAGAATCTGAGTCTGTCTTGGGAGTGGCTGGGAGGAGGCTGGTTTGCAAAGCAGGTGTGCCCTGGAGTCCGAGAGCAGTCAAGGATGCTTCCTGGGTGTGCTTATCTCCACATGGTCAGAAGTCTATCTGTGCAAGCTTTTTCCCAGTCTTATTGCTATTGCAGGTTCTCTCCAAGAGCCTCTGCTCTTGGTAATGCCATATTCTGTAGCTGTGATTTCAGGACCTCTTTTTTTCTGTTTGTTAGAGGCTTTAAAGGGCCTGCTTCTGCAGAGCTGCAATCCTTGAGCTACAACAGCTCTCTATGCTCTGTCCTTTTTCAGATCCTCTATAATGGTGATCAATAAATGGTTTTCTACAACAGAGGGACTACTGGTAATATCTGTCCCAAGCAATTCCTCCAAATGGAAAAGCCCGTCCAGGCATATTCTAGGTGAAACAGCATCTCACTGCAGTAAGCTTCCTGCTCATTTCTGGCTAATGTTTTAATCCTACCTAATTGAAATTATCTTTGGAGTAGCAGGAAGCAGAGTTTTGCTTTAGTTAGAAAACTCTCTACCCTGTGTGAAAGAGTTTTTTGATATCTGCAGCTATATCCCACTGTCTGTGCCTTCCTGAGGGGACCAAGTCTTACAGTTTCATGGGTCTTCCCTTCAAACCACTGGATCCTCCTTGCCCATGAGGGTAGCATGGTGGCTTGTGGCTATTACAGCAGTTACCTGGAGAGCCTCAGGTTGTTGTGAACAGCCCTGTTGGTACACTGTCATCTTTAAAATCAGCTTATCCCTTTTGGTTTGCTTTGAATTTCTTGATAAGAGTGATGTCACTTTCTGCATTCCACCTGGAAGATTAAGCTTACAGAGGTCTTCTATCTTTCTGGAGCTGAATCTATGCTTTGTTCCCTGGCAGTTAAGACCTTTTTAGAAGTCTCCCCTGATGTTTGCTTTGACTGCTGGGTGATCTAACAGCTGTGTTTCCCCTGCATAGTATCCCCCAGAAAGGACTTGTGGCAGCCCAGGGGCCTGGTGTGAAACAGCAGTGCTGGCCCTCCCACGAGTCATCACTGCACTCTGTTGAGGGTCAGCAGTCAGCAGACAGGCTGTGCAACATCACCTCTCCAGGTGTTTGCTGTGAAGTTATTTGTCACTTGTGTTTTCAACAAGCACAGTGTTATTCTTCATGCAGCTCCTGGCAGGTGATGCTGCAGTTGTTTGTATCTAAGTGTCCAAAGGGAGGGCATCAAGAGGATGGATCAGGCTCTGCTCAGTGGTGCCAAGCAGTAGGACAAGAGGCAATGGACAGAAACTGATGCACAGGAAGTTCTACCTGAATATGGGGAAGAATTTCTTTACTGTGCAGGTGACTGTGCACTGGAACAGATTGCCCAGAGAGGTTGTGGATTCTCCCTCACTGGAAACACTCAAGAACTGTCCAGATGCAATTCTATGCAATGTACTCTAGGATGACCCTGCTGGAACAGAGTGGTTGGACCCACTATGGTCCCTTCCAACCTTAGCCATTCTCTGATTTTGTGGTTTGACTCACCCTTCACCAAGAAGTTGCTGTGTGACCCTAGAAGTATCCCTTTAGTACCTTTATGTGGGGGATCTCTCAAATTACATATATTTTTTAATCTAGTCTGCTTTTCTCTTCTCTTTCTCAGTCCCTTTCAGATGCTATCTTGGACTGAAAGGAATTGAAATAGCTGCAGCCACAGCAGGTGGAGAGGTTTGGAGTGAGGAAACCCTCCAAGAATCACACAGAAACAAAACTCTTGGGTCTCGTGTCAGGACACGTGTGTACTTTTCCAAGGACTTCAAGTTTCCAAGAACATTAGCTGCACGACCTTTGAAAGGGTTTCAGTATCTCAGTTTAAATGTACTGTACAACCTCTCATGCTTTTCATATTTTCCTTTGTGCTAATTGTTTCTCTCTCCAATCCAAATGCAGCACAGCACAACTGCCACAGCTGGTGAGCAGAGCAGCACCAGCAAACTCACATCCAACTCTTAGCACCAGCAAAACAGTTATGCTCATCTAAGTATTATGAACAGACTTGCAGGACAATATCCTGTTGTCAGGTAATAGAGTCTTAAGTTAATATTAGTCATCGAGTTCGAGATTATAATAGATATCATTTTCATAATTGACAACCTGTTGAATAGATTTTAATGTACCTGAATTACAAAATGATGAGGAAAGAAGGGGAGAAATAAAAGCCAGAAGAGAGCAAGACAATAACTAATCAGTGGTTCTTGGTTTGCTCTTTTTTAAAAACAAGCCCAACATAAACTTTCAGCAAACAGTCCTGTTGAGCAAACATGTGCTTGTTAGGTTAATTGTTGCTTTTCTTTTTAACTTTGAATATCAATTAACTATTAGCAGTAAATCTATAGTTCCTTTCTTGCCCACAATGATAGTAACAATTTCCATGCCTAGAAATTATCAGTAAAAGAAAAATAAAGCTAATTTGTTTTTCTTTAAAGAAAAGGATTAACAGGAGACAGTCATACGTATGTGCAGAATTCAATTTCAGGAACAGAATTTGCACATAAATTTAACTCATTTACAAAATGCAGACATCATTCTCAGGGGTTTTTTATACAATATGCAGTGGATTGCTCTGGTTTTAATACTTACATTTTGTGATGCAAAAAGGAGAAAAGAGATGTTTCAAAAGGCCCAATAAACTTCAGTTGTATCAATCTGTATCAAGCTAATATGGATGTAGAGAAAAATAGGGACCCAAGAGAATCTTTTCTGAAGCATTATTGATTTTACATTTGTCTCTGGGTGTGCTGCTTCTCTTCTGGACTCCTCCTCTTCTGGACTTCTATTCTGGACTTTACATAAGGCTGCTATAGACTTTTTTTGGCTATAGCAGAAGCCATATGGTCTGGCTACTAAAATTAGACTCTGCTTGTCACAGCCTACAGAGGCTCTGGCAGCTGTGCCAACCCTCAGAAGGAGGAAGGAAAGGGTTTTCCTTTGCATCGCTCAGTCACAGCCCACAAACGTCACTGCAGTTGCATGTACTGCTCACAGTTACCTGCTGCCACACCTCTGCTTGCCTGCTGCCACCCAGTACCTGGCTGGGAGCTAAACCTGCCTCATCTTACCATGTTAGTATGTCCCCTTGGCCAAACTGTTGTCTCCCTTGTCTTTCTGCATTTTTTACATCATCACATGAAATGATGATAACTTCTGCATGGACCTTTCAGGCGAGGCAGCAGCTGTGGTAGCTAAACCTTCAGAATCTGATTGTCTTCACAGCCTTTGATATTGTGAGGATGGAGATCTTCAAATCCAAAACTGCTGAAAATCCCAACAAAACACTTAAAAACACATTGCCCTAGTGAATCACTGTGAGAAACTATCACTGAGCCACACACAGACCAGAGAATCTTCAGGGCTACCTGGGGGAGCCCTTCTGCACCCTGTGATTTCTTCCTGTCTGAGTTTTTTACAGGCATGGGTCATTTAGCAACACCTACCTACAAGTCTATAGGGTTCTGACTCTGTGCTTATGTACAAATTTATCACTTTATAAAGCCATTTGGATGTACAGTTGGGAAAAAAAAAGAGAATGCACATTGTTATTAAGATGAGAAATTAATATAGTCAGTTTGTATTTAACACAGATTTGTTCTGCAGAATATATTTTCTCCATGAAAATAGCAACTGCTTCATATGCAATAGGATTTTGATGTGTTAAGTATACACTTTTCCTGAGGATGTGACAATTGTTGCTCCATGATGTCATGAAAAGTTAGACAATTTCTTTGACAGGACACACGATTCAATTCTGTCACTTCTAACACCAGTGTCTCCTAAAATTCACCCTGCTCAGAGATGAAAAGTGACCTGACCCAGCCGTGCTGACAGAAGCCTGAGCTGAACCCACAGCTGTCCCACAAAGCAGCTTTTGCATGTGCTGCATGAGCCAAAAGAGAGCAAAGCTGCAGTGGTGGCACAAAGCTTTGCTGTGGGAGCCACGACCCCTCTGGAACTGCTGCGTCCACGTGCTGTCCAGCTCAGCCAGACTGCCATGGCTCAGCAAACACAGCTGTGGGCAGGACTTTCTGCGTCAAAAGGAGACACACACTTCACACAGGGTGTAATTAAGCTCTAAATCTCCTTGCCACAGAAACTTGTGGATGCCACATTTTCACATTTGTCTGAAATGCAAAGAAATTCACATGAAAAAGAGCTGCCAAGGGGAATTAAACACAGAGATACCAGGAAATCCTTGAGCAGAGGGTCAACGGAGGTTGGGAGAGTAATGGAGAAGCAGTGCTCTTGTATTTGCTTTATCTTACCACTTTTTGCTGGGCATTTGCTATTAACTACCATTAGCAACAGGCTCTTCATCCTTTTTTTCAAATAATCCCATACTGACAGCATCCGTCGTGAGCTCTATAAAGAGTTGGCTTCAGTCCTCTGCTCTGCCACACACTTTCTGTGTAAACTCATTTTCCTTCCTTCAGGGGAAAGCAGAAGTTGGAGCCCTGCCCAGACTCTGACAGGATTGAAACCTGCTTGCATTAGGCTTGTGAAGTGCCTAGAAATGCAGGATGGAGTATGTGTTGGTATCTGGTGTTGCTGTGGAGCTCAGCTCTGTTGACAGACTCAAACTCAAGGTGGCCAAGGTGCCACAGGCCCATAGCAGGTGCCAGTGGTGGGGCTACTCTGGGATGCATTATTCCATGTGGCCAAGTGCATTAATCTGTCACTGCTGTAACTCCTAAACCCTAAACCATGTCCTCTAGCATCAGATCTAGATGCCTCTTAAACAACTCCAGAGACGGTGACTCCACCACCTCCCTGGCCAATCTATTCCAGTGCCTGAACACCCTAACAGGGAAAACATTTTTCCTAACTTCTACCCTGAATCTCCCCTGTCTCAGTTTATGACCATTCCCTCTAGTCCTCTCCCTGCAGCCATGGCAGGAGAGACATCCCCACCTCTCTACAACCCCTGTCAGGTAGCTGGAAAGAGCCCTGAGGTCACCCCTGAGCTGCCTCTTCTCAGGGCTAAACAAACCCAATTCCCTCAACTCTTCCTCACAGAACAAATGTTCTAGACCTGTTCTGAGCCTCATTGCCCTTTGCTACACTCACTCCAGTGCCTCAATGTCTTCTTTTAATTGAGGGGCCCAAAACTGAGCACAGCACTGAGGTGTGACCTCACCAGTGCCAAGCACACCACTGCCCTAGTCCTGCTGGTCACACTACGCTCGACACAGGCCAAGATGCCATTAATAGAGCTCTGTCAGTGCAAATGAGAAACCTCCCAGAGTTTCACGGGCTGTTCACAGGGAGCTCAGCTGTGTGGCACAGGCAGCACACAGCTCATGGCAGGGTGCACCATGCTGACCTTTATGCCCTCCCTGTTTGCAGCAGTTTATCTGCCAGGCTCCTTCCCCGGCATTATTTACAGCTGATGAAGCTCTGCCATCTATCAACAGCCCTGAGGGCAAGCCAAGCCATAGCTGCAGGGCTGTGTGCCTCTTGGCTTTTCTCCGTGTTTTTCCAGCCCCCATCCCAACGATAGCAACATGCATCATGAGATGAATAGAGTCAATTCTTCACTTTATGCTTTTTAAGGCCATCCTGGCTGGCTTTAGGCCACAGCTTGTGGCACAGCCCATGTGGAGGAGAGACTAAATTGATGGGCAGGAATGTCCTGTATCTAAATAGCAGTGTACTCCTGAGGCAATGGTACAAACAACAAGGACTGAAAATACTCACCTTGCAGCCTTCTCCAAGCCCTGCACTCTGGGCCCAGTCTCCTGGACAGGAGAGGATTGCAACTCCCTGTGCATGCAAAAATGCAGTTGGTGATGCTCAGGAACATCTTTGAGTATCTCTCCACTTACATCTATCCACATAGCAGGGAGGGGTAGGGGACTACCAGTATAATTCAGTAATACTTGTGAAGGAGCCCTATGGAGAACAGACACCCACTACATCCACAAACAGGGTAGAGCCATTTGCATGTACTTCTGCAAGTGTTGGGAATTGTACCAGAGGCACGAGGGGCGCAGAGCAGTAACTGGATTAGCAGGTGACTTTGCTTGTAGTTGGTGAGGGAAGTACAAGCCGCAGTAGGGCAGGGTATGGGAAAGTATTAAACATTTTTTTCCTTATCTTGAAAATACAGGCTCTGAACCTGAAGTTTCCAAGCAAGTTTACAGGTCTGCCAATACAGCCTTCAGTAGAATTTGCATGGCATGAATATTTACAGGAGAAAAAGGTAACTCTTGCGTGCTCAGGTTGCTTGTGTCCTTTCCCCAGGGCTGCAGTCTCCCCCAGCTCTGTGCCACCTGCAGATTTCAGAAGTGAGCTTTTCCACCCCGATTTATTTAAAGTTCTCAGAGACCCTTTAGGCAGGATGAGGCTCTCCAGGCACTTTTTCTGTTCAATCTGAGCTGCTCCCCAAGTGACACCCAGATGACTTTTTGGCATGATAGTTTCCCAAGCAGCAGGATCCAGAACTTTAGGGCATACCTCACTGAAAGCTGCTGCCCAATCCCTTCCAGTTGGTAGGATTTGTGGGTTTAGACATAGGAAAGGCAGAAAAATACCACAGGCCACTTTACCTGTGATGGATATTATGATTGCTTCTTCACTAAGTGTGTAATTAATCCCTGGAGGCTTTGCTGTCCCTCTGACATGCAGGAACTGAGAGGTGAGGCTGTATACCACCTCAGTGATGTGCTTCATGGATGACCTGCTGCTGGGGGATGAGAAGGAACTGCTCAAGTGGGCTTACCATGAGTAGGACTATCATGACTTTAGCCTGATGCACTTTACCAAATGCTTGCTGAGGATTTCTACAGAAAATTTCTGAACAGCCAGGCAAGTAGCACTGATTTACAAGAGCACAAGGTCTGTAAGGGGCTGGAGAGGTTATCTGATGGAAGGGCAGATACCATGGGGTGGAAGGAAAACGAGCACAGATAGCTATGGCATTTTCTTGGTTTCCTGCCTGGGGATGGCAAGGCTGGAGCTGGGGCTGGAGAGGCTGATGGAGAGCAACCCCTGCCAAGGATGGCAGAGCCTCTGTGCCTCTCAGCAGCCAGGAAGGAAGAAACACCAGTCTGGATTCCTGACACGCATTAACTACTTCAGACAAAAGTGTATTGTTGACCATGCTGCAACTGTGCTGCTCCAAAATCCCAAATCAGCCCTTGGGTACCCTAAGCCCAACTACTAAACTTCCCCTTTCCCAGCCAAGAGCCCCTGAAATGCCATGGTGGGGTGAGGTGCGAAATACTCTGGCTGGGAATACCAAAGAAGGTTCATTTTGGCAGGGTGGCAAGTATTCCTGCAGATTCATTTACTCCTTCCTGCAGTAAGCATGATAAAGAAGCAGGCCCTGCCTAGTAGTTTGCTTAGCACACCTTTGGGATTACTTCTGCCAGGAATGAAGTGAAACATCCTTGATTTTATTTAAACAGTAGGGTAGCTGCGCATTGAGGATCCTGCAGGCATCTTCTGAGACCATTCTCTCTGAGCAGCTGGACCCTGGCCTGTATTGGGGAAGGAGAGCTCAAAAGCTGCCCTTCCCCTCACTGTATTTGTTTTTCTGCTTTAAACAGCACGTGTTTGTGTACCTGGAGATAGCCACTGAGGAACAGCCTGTCAGGAGGCTCTGCTTTGAAGTAGTTACATAGGAGAAAAGCAAAAGCAAGGAAGAAGTCCACCCAGCACGGTGATTTCACCTGCTGAAGAAGCAGGGGACAGAAATCTGGCCAGTGGACTCATCTAGGAATTTCACACCTTGTCAGTTAGGCATTTCACACATGTTTTCCTCTTCTCACTTTTGCAGCTCTTTTCAGATGCATGTCCCAGGACCTGTGAAAATTTCCTCTCCCTATGCTCCCAAGGAGCAAAATCTCTCCATGATGGCCAAGAGCTCACCTACAAAACCTCCCTTTTCAGTGCCTAGAGAAAAACAAGTGGATCCAAGGAGGAGGTGTGTTTCCAGGCATCCTGAGTAAAGCTGAGTTACAGCACAAGGCAGGGGTGGTGTGTGTGATCTGCATGAATAACATGCATCATCCATGGAAACATAACTGAACTGCAGGACAACGGTAATCTTTTAGTTCAAAAATATATATATAGATATAGATAAACCCCAGAAAACATTTTGTCTTTTAGACATCTCACTTTCTAAACAGGAAAAGTCTGGATAATTTTTACTTGTGATTATCTAAGACTTTTTCAAAAGAATTTAGGAAAACTACTCGAAAACATTGAAAGTCTTTTCCATTAAGTTCATTGGTAAGCAATTAGGAAACTAACTGCAAATATTAAAAAAACTAAAAATATCCATAGGAAAATATATTATTTGTTTTATAAAGAGATTCACTTACAAAGGCATTTAGTCAAGTGTCAGAGCCCTTGCAAACATGCTGGTGAAGTGTCTGAACAACTGCTATAGCTGCAGTGTAGCACCAGGGAGAAATGCACCACCAATGATGGGTCACTCAGCTTGCCCAACACATCCTCAGGGAAGTCAGGATAGCAAGGTGTATCAGAAAGCAGTTCCTTTGTTACTCCCTTTTGGTCTATCATACATCTTACCTACCTGTGTTTCTTACTTGTGTTTGCCTTGCTCCAAACATCTCAGGTTTCACCTTTGACAATGCACCTCCTGCTTTTCATGAATAAATATGCAGATATCGATGTAGTCCATAAAAGCAATCTAAAATTGCAAGCTTGCTACTAATGATAACCTGATGGTGTAAGACAATGTCTAAATGAAGTAACAAATCCAGACTTTTTTTTAAAAAAACAATGATTAAAAATAGATGCATCAGGTTTTCTTAGTGTCTCACTCATCCGGTTTAACAGGAATTTCTCTTCTATCAAGTCTCCTTTCTTATACAAGTTAGTGGTCTTAACTCACCATAGAATCACAGCTGCCTTTTCATCCTTCCTTCTTGTAACCCTACTCCCTCTGATAGATGTCCTTCTTCGGAGCACTCCTTCCTCAGCCAGAGCTCTCCCAGCAGGAGATGCTGGACCTTCTCAGAGGGGCAACAGTTAAATGCACTGCATGAAATAGTTCATAGAGAGACTGTCTCTTGGGATGGCAGCATAGCTCTTCCCAAAGGCCTGTTAAAATTTCAGGAGCGAGACAGGAAGATGGATGCAGTTGTTCCTCTAGGCTGATGTGCAACCCACATCTCTGACCTTGGCTGAGCTGCTCACTGACAACCCCCAATATCACCTGTGATAGACCTAATCTGTGATGGTTACTATTATCTACCCTGCAGACATTATAACTGGAAAGGGAGATGGAGAAGAGTCAATTTATGGCCCCACCTTTCAAGGTATGTTTCCCCTGCTATCTTACCATGGAAATGATAAATTTCTGCAAAAAATCAAGTTGTTGATCTGATCTCATTCACATAATAATCTGGAAATTTCTTTTCATCTCCGTAAAGCAAAAGGGTTTGCTTTTCAGTCAGAATTATTAGCATGAGCAGACTGCTTTAGTGAGAACACTTTTTGATCTGTAACCTTGTCCCCCTCCTCTCTTGTCCCCTGCCTGAGGCTCAGCTCCACCAGCCCCTTCTCCTTGCCTAAAGGAGGGCTGATGGTCACCCACTGCCTACTTCAAACTTCAAACCTTTGAGGAAAGGACCTTAGCAATGCAGAAATGAATTAGCTACAGTTCTCCAGCCATCTGTACCACCTGTTTCAGTGCATTTAAAGTAATATAAGTAAGTCAGCTGTAACACTAAATTTCCTAGACCTCAGGCAGCTTTTCAAGCTTGGGCACACTGCAGGCATTGCTGCCAGCAGCTGCAGCTCTGCAGAAGTAAGGGGAGTTCTGAATCTCACAAAAACCATGGAAGTCAAGAAATGACAAACATGAACCAAGTTCAACAAAAAATGTTCCCTCGTACTGGTATAAAGTAATCATGTGTAGAGAGAAAAGAACATTCTAACTTCCGATATTTAAGAAAAACAATCCATGTAATTGGCACAGGCATTTGGGATCTTTTGTTTAAATTAAATGCTACCCATCAAGATGTTTCATGACAGTTAAAGCATTGCTGAAACTGATTTATGTTCCTTTAATAAAAGCTTTCCCACTGCCAATGGTGCAAACCATCTCAGCAGGCTGAGAAGCAGCCAAGAGTGAGATCAGAAATGCCAGTGTAGCTGAAAACCTCCTTTTCCAGGACACTGAAGAGCCCACCTGTGAGGAGAAGCTGCTCTCACCGTAAGGTCCCAGGGCGGATGGAACAAAACGTAGTAGCACTGGTGGGCAGGAAAGCTGCTAGAGGTGGAAGCCTGGCAGGTGGGATTTAAGGCAGTAAATGCCACGGGTTGCCTAGAGTGGACAGGAGGGGGCAAAAGTCACTTCTTTGGTGCTAGAGCTCTTGAGACAGCAGCAAGCCTGGACTCTTGGGGCACACACATCTCTGAAAGAACATAAGGTAGTATTGGAAGAAAATCAGACTGGCTGTTAAGTTGTTTGCAAGGTAGATGCCACCAAGAATTCAAAACTGTGAATCCTCTTTTCCAGCAATGTTATACAATAGATTTGTGCTAGTGCTCATCTTGCATCCCTTTCAGTTTCTGTTCAGGTGGAAATCGTTGCAGAGGAGAATGAGTTTGTGTGTGCTCACAGGGCAGCCGTGCCCCACGTGCTGCAGCACAGAGCCCCAGCCCACAGGCAGCATTTTGCTCTGGCTCCATCCTCCTCCTCCAGACAGAGCTTGTGCTTTCCCTCTGCTACCCACAAAAGAAGATGCCATGTCATGTGGGAAGGGGACAATGTGCCAAAAAACCACTTTGGTAATTTTAAGGTGGATTTAATTTGGAATCGGTCAACCTTGAAAATGGTCTCTAGAAGGGTTTTGTTACCCATATTGCACATACTCCGTGTGTTGATGTATTAAAGGAGAGAATTGCTAATTCTTGCCCTCCCTCTCTTTAATTAAGAGTTGCTTTTCACCCTTGAGAAAGGTGTTCCCTTGGGTATGCCTTTCTATTTTAAGGCTTAGATTGCTTTCCCAATACTTCCCGCAAAACTACTTTACACTGAGTGCAGAGGACAAATATCTTTGATATCTGAAAGGGGTGAGAGATGCCTCTGTCAGACTGTAATGCTCTGGGAGACTCCACACTTGGCATGTGTCTGGGCACTGCAACCAGCGCCTGCTGAAATTAATGGCACACAACCTCATTTTACTGTAATGAGATGAAAGGACTGAGGCAATTACAGAGAACCACTCAGACTAGAGCACCATGTCATAGGACAGAGCATCTCTCTCCAGAATTAGTCTGCTGAAGTCATTTTGCAAACCACAAGGCAGCACGCAGAGAGTAACTGTTCAGTTAAAATTTAATTACCGTTTCTATGAATCAGTTTCTGAGAAGGGCACTCAAACAGGGCAACAAGAATTTAAAAACCCAATAAAATCTAAGTATTTCTTCAATTTCCTTAAAGCTTGTTAAGAGCTCAGTGGGGCTCTTGACTGCACAGCGTGACCAGTTCAGAGACAGGTGATGGAGGATGTCAGGACCAGTGGGCTCCCTGCTCCCCACCTCATAGCCAGATTCCCCTCCTTGGAGAAGGAATCAAGTGTTTGCCATCATCCCCCAAACCCAAGCCTGTTCTTCCCAGTCATCACTCTTGAGAATAATTTCACCAATCTTTCCTCAGCTGGCATGGAGGATACTCTTCACCTCCTCACAGCTCTTGTTTCCATCCACTGCCTCCTCTCCTTGCCCTGGACAAAAGCTCCCACCCTGAGAGCACCATGCCCTCCTTAACTAAAGATCTGGCCTTCATTTATTCAGCTCTGTCATTTTATTTGGCTAAAGAGTCTCCTGCTTGCTCTTCTGTGCGAGTCACCAAGCACTGGGAACAGCCAGGCATCCTGCCCCAGCCAGCCACATCCTACCCTTACAGCCTGTGTCATAGGGGACCTTGCCCTCTACACCACAGGCAGCAGCACAAGGGGAGACAGAGCAGAGGCTGTGCTTGAAGCATCCCCTCTGCCTCCCACCTTCCTCATCTTATGGTGGGAATAATCAGAAGCAGCTGTGGGGAATTGCTGTTCTAAGTACCCTGAGCTCCTCTCGCAAGAGGCATTTTTGTAGCTCTAATACTCACAAATACCTAGGGAGCTTTTTTTATGGATATTTTTTCATTAGCTTCTTTACTGGCTTAAGCACTAGACAGCAGTGGGAAGCTCTTTCTAGAAAAGACATTGATTCAAAACAGACTTTGCTGGCATGAGACTAATGAGACCTTTGAGGGAAAGGGAAAAGGAAAAGGGAGAGTGGGAAAACGGGAGCTTGAGGGAGCTGGCAAAAGGGACCTGTGTGGTGAACAGCAGCAAAAGCAGTGACAACAGCAGCCTTTCATCCCCCTAGATGAAAATTTCTCCATCCATCATGAAGGAAGACAGGTCCTCAGGATGGCCAACAAGGGTCACCACAGCAATACCTTGGAGTTCTACATCACCTTCCTGTCTCCTCCCCACCTGAGCAAGAAACACATGGTTTTTGGGTAGGTACACACAAGCTTGGCACTACTGCACTGTGCAGGAGATCTCCCTGGGCCCAAGGGGCATTGCTGCCTGGGAGGAAGCATCAACAAAATCTGCAACACAGATGCCTCTGGCCAGCAGGAGGATGGAGAAGTCAGGATTGTAGTACCTAATGACACCCATCCCTCCTTTCTCTGCCCTGGCCTGGCTTGCTCAAACTAGAAAAACCTATGGCAAATCTCAGAAAGCTGACAGGGCATCTCAAGACCAAGACTACAAACTTGTGGCTGCATAGCTCAGTGTCAGCTGAAGGTGGGCCCTGACAGAGAGGGAAAGGTTGCATGAAGCCTCAGGGCTCTGCCCTGCTCTCACAAGCTGAAAGAAATCATTTTAGCGAGTGCATGCTGAGAGTTTGTTCTCAGTAGGTTAATGTACAGGGCTGGCCCTGGTATGATTTTTAGGTTTGCAGGAAGGTAATAAGGAAGATTATTGCTCTGAGCAGTTTGCTTGATGCAAGAGAGCAAATTATGTAGATATTACCATAGAGAGAATTTCACAGTGCAGTTTCTATGTAACCACGTCGTGCAGAGAGGCAGCATTTTTAAAGGTAGCAAAAAACAGAGCTAAAAAACCTACAGAGAACAAACCAAAAGCTGGATGTATTTATAACCAGTGGCATTCACCTCAAGTTTCTGCCTTGCCACCAGCTCTGTGTAATCTGAAAGGTGTGGGATCCATGATTTTATAGCCAACTCCTAAATCTGAGTGGGAGTTTAATCCTGAGGGAACAAAAAAACAACCACAGCATACGATGAAGACAGCCAGGCACTTTCCAACTCTGCTCTGCTCAGTCCTTCTGACATCCTTTCTTGGGCAACAGCTGCCTGCAGTGTCCTCCCTGCTTGGTACCACTCTGCTGGATGGGATGGGGTGGAATGGGATGTGGTACAAAGCTTTATGGAGCACTGCTGGCATCCATCGCCGTGCCGGCGCCTGCAGGAGGCACAGCTCGTCCTCCCACAGCGTGGGAGCAGGACAGGCTGAAAATCATAAAGATTGCAAAATGTTGGACTGTTTTCAGGATTCAGATTGGTGCTGTGAAGGAAGGAAATGAAAGAGATTTCTCAGGGAGTCACTTCTAATACTGTCACTTCTGATAGTGTGTCTCCTGACTTCTTCCTTCTCAGAAGTCATGGCCATTTGTAGCTGGGGCACAGGGAACAACACTTGCTTTTTCAAATGAATGTAGCTGCATAAAGTATGCACCTCCCCTAAAATGCCAACTAGAGGCTACTTAATCAAGAACTGATGGCATTTATTTGCAGCTCCATTGTGATGAACAACTTTTTTAAGAGCATAGCCTGTCAGTAGGAAGCAGGTGCCTGGGTTTGTTATGGCCCCACACAAGACAGAGGCTTCAGCTGGAGGAAACTGATCAAGGCATGAAGATCCTCCAAAGACTGGAAGTCATATCTGCATATAACAAAAGATCTACAGTAACCTGCAAGATTAAACATGGGACCTTCAAGCCATGACCATCTGTTTTTCCTGCACGCTGTAAGGCAGAGCACTATTTCCCACTCAACTTCTTACAGACCTTGATGGCTTTCACTTAAGGCAAAAATAAAACCACTTCTTGTACCTGCAAATGGCTTAGAAACATTCTGTCACCTTAAAAAGAAATGTTCATAAGGTGTTAAGAAGTATTTTTACAGGAATATTGAAAAAGACCTGTGAACATACCTCAGTGCATCTACAGTGGTGTTAATATAGTTATATAGTGACAAGCAGATATGGTAAAATGCATATATGGGTAAAGCATGGATGGACCAATGGATACACAACCTATAGGGATAAAGGTAACTGTTCCTGGCTAAATTCTGCCTCTACCACAACCTCCACAGGACAACTGCCCTGCCAGGTTTGGCCTGTGTAGAATCATAGAATAGTTTGGGCTGGAAGGGACCTCTAAAGGGCACCTAGTCCAACTGCCCTGCATTGAGCATGGACATCTTCAACTCAATCAGTTTGCTCAGAGTCCTGTATAGCTCAGATACCACATGTAGTCTGCATGTGGCAACTCAGACATCTCAGAGGAAAGGAGGAAAAAATACCTTTGCAGGACTGTGGTCTTTATGAAGGCAAAGCATTTGATCCTGTTCTGAGTACTATAAACTAAAAGTAATAGCCTTGAAATCAGGTTGGGCTGCATCAGGCTAATACCAGGAAATGCTAGAGCAGACATAAGCTTGAAGTGATTATTTTTGGCAGATGGTCTCAAATTAAAAAAAAAAAAAAAAAGGCTACTGCCACTAAAACAGAGAGAAATACTGTTTACAAAGTTACTGCAAAACAGGAAATGTTAAGGTTATGTGTAGATGTGAATATCTAGCACACAATGATTGCTAGTGTCCGTGGTTTCTTACATGCAAGACCTCTGTGACATACAGTGCAGGGCTGGGGCACAGATGGCTTCAGCAGAGGACAGCAGGTAAGCATTAAAGGAAGAGAAGATGTGTGGAAGATCAAAATGCAGCTTGGAAAGAGAGGCCACAAGTGAGTGCCCTGGAAGTTCAAAGGAAAGAGCATTCATTCGTCAGGCTTGGCTGCAGCACGAGGCTAAAGCAGCCCTGCTGTGCCAGGGCAGCCTGGACACCGTCAGAGCACAGCTCTCCACGCTATTTCCAGCGCTGCCAAGTGCTGTGTTGAGTGACCTTTGCTCCTGAGCTCACCGTATGAGCCACTAAACCTCACAAAACAGCACCAGTGCAAGATGGGAAAGGCTGAACTAGGGAAGCATTAGGAGAGACCTAATTTTGTCCGAGCTTAAATCCATGGATTTCATGGAAAGTAATGATCTTAAGTTTATTTGCTAAATGGGAATGAATTGAACAAATCAGCAAATGTTTAACTGAATGTCTGAAGAGGACCTAGATCCAGAATGATCACCACAGGCTCTAAGTATGGAGATTGTCTTAATTTTAGCAAGGGGATTTAGGTTTTTCTTTACTTACGCTACGAAACAAAAAAGATTATTTAACCTAAAATATCTTTGTATATCTGTAGCTAACTAAGGAGCCTTTAACACATTTCACCCTTCCATTTCTAAAGCATTTTGCAACCTAAACATAGACTACTATATAGGAACTAAGTCTTCTGTGGGAACATTTCAAATCAATCCGCCTAAAGAGTAATTATTTTCACTTCATAGTCCTGGGTGAAAAATGAAAATAGAGTGTTGTATTTTCTTCATAAAAAACCTGCATTTCCTGACAAGTTACTTTTCATAAGTGACAGAGACTATTGCTGTGAAAGGATATGGTTTTCATCGCTAAGTATTGACACAGAGGTTAGTGGCTCTTATTTCTTGCAAAGATTTTAAATTACATTCGGATGTTTAAATTCAGAAAAGTAATTTTAGTTCTGCAGGTTATAGAGGACAAGGCTAAAAGACCAATTAACTGATTTTTGAATTTGCTGTTGGCTTGGTCACCCATGTCAGGTCTGCTCTGTGGCATGGCTGCACCTGTGTCTCCAATGTCCCACAAGGGACCAAGCCAGAGCACAGTGTGTGCTTCAAGTGCAAATGACCCAATCTGAGCAGCAGTCAGAGCCCAGAAACTCATGCTCTGGCAATGGGCAGTGTCCAGGGACCCTCACGGCAGGCAAATGACTGATCATATCAAGTATCAGAAAGTTGATCCTGTGACAAAAGTCACAGATCTGGTAACAAGTAGGATGTCTGGATGTACAGCTGGGTGTTGTACATTTGGGATCTAGGAAAGTGACACAGGGGGACTGGGCAGGGGACAACTGGCTGAGGTTACACCACATGAAAAAGAGTTATAACGAGAAGAGGAGAGTACAACCAGGAAATATTTTGAATCCCTTGGGGAAGCCACAATTACTGTATTTGCATTGGTCATGACAGGACACTCTGCCAGAAAAAATGTGGTAACATCTTTCATCCAGTCTTGAGAGGTCACCTAAAAGAAATAGTGTGTCTTTCAAGCCTAGTTCCCCAGTGCCCACACATTGGACACACTTAAGGAAGGATCCAGAGGACACACAATTCCAGAGGCAAGCCATGGGCTCTCCACAAAGATCGGAAATTTAGGGGCAGTCTGCAGATGGAGAGGTGAAGTCTTCCATTGCCAGCTGCTGGTTTTGGAGAAGTTCCCTTCCCAGCAACCATATAAAAAACCTCCCTTCTATAAAGAAGAGCTGGCAGCAATGTGCATTCTGAGAAAACTATTATCTTACCGGATTACACAGTGTTTTATTTGTGTAATGTGTCACTGCTGTAAGAAAAATTGGTATCTTTCAAGTTTTGCTTTATTAGAGTTTTATGCTGAGCTTCTTACTCCAGCAAAACAGTCTCTTAGATACTGCTTTAAATGAAAAGTGCTGAAAGAAGCCCTCAGACTACACACAAATTTTCTTTGTACGGGCATATGTGTGAAAAGCACAAGGATATTGTGTTAATAAACCACAGACAGACTCCAACCACTGCATCTCACTAATTCAAGCACCGATCAGATGAAAGTTGGAGGCTGAAGTCATTAACTACAAGGTAGTTTGCCCAATTTGAGGTCAGAGAGTTTCTGAATTTGACCCAGAGGGCTGCTAAGGCCAACAGAAAATGTTTGTGTGGCTCCACACCGATCTGGGGAAGCTCTGGAATCTCTGAAGCATATGTTCATTTCAATGGTATCAGGCAGGACCTAGACAACATATTTCATCTTCCTACAGATGAACTTCACTTTCCTTTTTTAGACTGTCATGGCTACAGCTCTCTGCTATTGTCCTTCACATACTTATTACTATGGATACGCTTAATCCATTGTTGACCCCTAGCTCTTAAGTCAGAGACAAAAAAGTTCTTGCCACCAGTTCCAGGGAGAAAAGAAAGGTACTCCAAGGGGCTGGTTTTGAAAGAACTTTACTGAAAATATCAACCACACAGCATATCAAATGGACCAGAATGATGTGATACAGCTATTGCATGAAGCAAATGGGTAAGCAGAACGATTTTATAAACCTAATAGAAAGAATCTTGATACTGTATTTCTGATAAGGTTCAGGATGTTAAGAAGCAGTAACGAGTGGCCAGGTCAACAGAGCTCACTCATGACAGAGCCTACTGCTGTATCACACCATCACCACCCAAAGAATGCATGTTACCAATGTGTAAATGGATGCACCAGCCTGCCCCTGTTCTGTGGTCAGTTCCAGATGCACAGCTGAAATGTTTATTCTTTCCACCCCATCTCACCTCTACCTGTTGCCTTCCATTCTTCTTCTCAAGACGTCTCTTTGGCTTGCCTTAGGCTAAAAGCCTGTATTGCTATCTCTAAAACAGCTCAGAAAAATCCCTTAGCATTACTATACCCTCCCTGCCACTCTCTATATTTGTTCCTTATGTTAAAAGCAGCCTCTCCACCCAAACTGATGGGGCTGAGCAAGTGTCTGTACCATAGTATGCGTGTGTACCAGACACAGCTCCACCTTGCTTGCCCCAGGCAAGCAGCTTGTATAGTACAGGTGCCAATGTCCTCACCCAGAATTCCTGCTTGGGACAGACTCATGGGCACCTTAAATGCAGACCTGGATGTCATACAGTGTGGCATGCACAACCCTGTAGTTGCCTTGGGGCTGTATCCAGCCCCAGTCAGACACACCTCTGTAGCAGAATTTACTACCATACCTGTCTCACAGTGCAAGGACGAGTTAAGTTACAAAGCTCTGAGCACAGGAATCTATGCATTATTTCTGAACAATTACAAAGTCAGTGAATGGCACCAGAACCCAATAATGCATCATAATGAAATGGTAGCAAATATTCCAAAACCTCTTTTGGATGGTGTATTTTCCCTGTTAAACACCCACCATGTATTTACAGTTCACACACAGTTCTCTTTCCATGCAGCTGAAATGAAAATATGGAAATTAAAGCAAATGTTTACAAATTGAACCAAATATATGTTCCCTTCATTTTACCTACTAAATTTTGGTTTTCATTTATTCCTATTATCCCAAACTGCAGTACAGTCCTATGAAACCTCTTCAACTCATGATCACATCTTGCCAAGCACCAACTGATACAACACATTTACTATGTTTAAAATGTGCTTCCCTAAAATGGACATCTGCAGACCCTTAGGTTCTACCCATTTTTGTCAAGGACTCTACATAATTTTCCAGTAATGCAGTGCTTGGAATTCCTTGTAGATTCAAAACAGAGGTAAATGCCTTACTAACCACTAAGTATATAACAGCCCAATGAAAACTGAAGACAGTGATGAATGTGATATTTAAATCCAACAACAACAACCCAGACTGCCATGATCCTGCTGACTGTATGCTACAACAAAGTCCCAAGATGCTGACTTTAAGAAAAAACAGACAAACCACATTCATCATTCCTTTGGATTCCTACCAGCCTCCAGGATTACATGATAGACATGTTCTCACTCACTTGTGAAGATGTGTTGTAGCTGTAATTCTTGCCCTGCTGCTAATCTCAGTTCTGTTT